GTTCCAAGAAAGAAGTGAAACAGCTGAGTATATTGGATTCAACAAAACAATGACCAGTGCCTAATTATTTACCCCCAATGGTGAATACTTTTCATAGGCTTTGGGTTTTACAGGCTGAAAGCCATAAGCACAAAATGACATTTGAGTCAGAAATAACAGGGGCTGCAGAAATAAATGACAAAAATCAATGAATAAATGAAATGGTAAACTGTTTAGATATTAAATCATCAGAAGGCAAATGTCAAAATTGACCTGGTAATCTTTGATAAGGATAAGGTCCTCTCCAGACTCTTCAAACTGCTTCAGTCTTTTTTGACTGGTTAAGTGGTTATAAAATTGGATGCATTCAGATGTGGAATTTTCAGTGTGACATTTCTCAAAAGAGGAAATACCTGTTTGTAAGTGAATTCTTTCATTATCTGTAAAGGAACACACTGAGTGCCATGAAACATTTTTAGTATTTCCCCATTAAATGATTCAAAAATATATCCTGAATGTGCCCACAAAGGTCACCAGTTCTTTACAGATTCAGGCAAATGAAGACATAAATGTACACTGAAGGACACATTTTGCTTTCCATAGAGTGTTTCAAATTGTTTGACAAAATCTACAACCAGCTTTTCACATCTTTTTAACTCCTCTGTTGTAATAATGTTCTTGCATAGCAAGAACATGAATGTGACAAGGATTAACCAGTGCTGGTAAAATACCTGGGGCAAAATTCCTTTTAGTACAAAGATACTGTAAAAAGGTAACCAGTTCTGCCATTCGCTGGCCTTCCAAAACTTCCTTTGCTGAAGAGATCGGGGCACTCTTGTCACATTGCAAGGTGGCTTAATTAGTAAGAGCTGTTGATCAAGTTCAGTCACTCTGTTCCCAGTATAATATGGTTTCTCATGGTTTTCACTGTCCAGCCACAGACTTGCCATTTGCCAAACCACACACCAAGATGTACATTGTGCATATGGTCAGGAGGCATGCCAGATATGATGTCAAAGTGTGGAATGTTTATAAGACATGTGGGCCCCTTAGCCCCTCTCACAGATTTTGTGGTATGCAGAGCCTCCTTTGCATCACGTATGGTTGAAGTGTGGTCCCTTTTTGGTACATCTTTGTATGGGTATGCCCTAACAGTACCATTTCCCTTCTGAACTTGTTCACCAAGATGTAGACAGAGGTTGCACCCGTACTGACCATTAAACTGGGTCATGTTTTATAGTATGGACTTGGCAACTGAATCACACATCATAAGAGCTGCCTCAACTCTATATTGTTCCAAAATACTCTCTTTTAAATGTGAAGCCCACCGTTGACAACTTCTGACACTCTTGAGTGAATGGCTTTAAAAATGTATTAATATTTGGCTTTTTACTGCCAAACCACAAAGTAAAGTAAAGTAAAACATTTTCTTTGCGTACAGGGTATGGAAGCTCATTTACAATCAGTCAGTTAATGAATGCCTTGGTTCAAACCCATCAATACTGACAGTCTTATCCAAGTTATCATGAATTAGGTTATTTGATGACTCTGATGCTGGACTCAAACTTGGTAGATGATTGAAGTGAGGATCACTCTCCGTGGAAGATTCAGCCGCAAAAAAGAGTGGAGATGTGGGATATCTACATGTAAATTCACCACAGTCTGCACGAAGACTCTGTAACAGAAAAAAGGAAAAGTCAATTCTGATCAGAAGTATTATCTGAACATTACACAAGAGGTAAAAAAACAAAAAGGGGTGCATAAATAGTCACAAAAATTGTGATCCATATACCTCCACAGACATTTTACAAATAAATTCATTTAGCAACATAGCAAATTAACATTTCAGATGAATTGCCTGGATTTTTAGGACTCATGAGATCTAATACCAAGTTAGACAAAGAAAACAAGCAGCTTGTAAATTTGGAATTGTTCTGAACTTTCATGATTTTGATATGGGGTGTGTGTACAGTGTAACCTATATGTCAAAGACAGACAGAAAGAGAGTTGATGTTTATTAAATGGTCATTCAGCTGCTTAGCAATATTCTTCACTGCTGGTGACTCCTCTGCACACAGCTCCAAGGAGGCCTTCTGTGTTGCAGCCACGTGTCCCTCCACTACAGTTGGACCAGGCAGACCAGCATGACCAGTTTGTTACCTTCCTGATTAACATCAGGTCTTTTACCTGCAAAACACTGTCCAAATTAACACACCAGTGTCCTTGTTGCTGTTAGGTATTTTTAGTCAGATAGAAATTGGATAGATACTTTATGTATTAGAAATGTTTAGTGGAGATAGGATGTCTAGTTAGACTGTTAAATGCTTAGTCATGCTTATGAGTTTCTACAGGGTACATCTGGTCAAGGATAACTAGAGAGAAGAGTTGATGACTGTCAGCAGACAGGATGTTTAATATTATTATTATGACGTGTATAACTGTAGCCTTAGCCATAATAGGTTCTTATGTTTAAGCCACGACATGTTACTAGAGGTCGTGAGAATGTTTTTAGCTACACACCACTTAACCAACAGACACACACACACATTGATTTGCTTCATGTTTTGACTACTGCTATGACCAGCTGCAAAGCTGGCAACAGAGACGTCTCGGTTGACGTTTCTGTGTAGTATGGGGCTAGCCCAACCGAGGGGATATAATGTATAGGCCTGGTGGGTTCAGGGTCTTTCATCTTACATCTGCCTGCGAGCAGTTTGGAGGTGCAAGATACCTTAGCGTGTAGTGTTAATTTTTACCTGTGATCCTTTTAATAAATCAGCACTGTTTTGAAGTTACTTGGACTGTCTCGTCTCTCAGAGTTAGCATGGTAAGACGAACCATATCCTACATTGGTATGCTGGGATACTCTATTTTGATTTACCTTTCACCCATGTTCATGCTTACTTGGGTTTTTAGCTTTATCACCCTTGTAATTCTGGCAAGCCATGCCTTCAAACAGATGAGGGCAGAAACACAAACACCTTCTGTCCAGCAGAGCGAGAGTCCCTCCATTATGACAAGGCTTACATTTGCACACATTATACTTTGCTATGTAGTCTGTTGTGGCGTGCTTCAGGTTTGGTATGCTGTCATTAGCATCAAGCATATGCAGTGGAATTAACATATGGTTGGGCCCTGGCTGCAAGAAACAAAAAAGTATGAATCATTTTGGTACTTGCCAGATAACAGAAAAATTTGCTCTCATTTGCCTCCTGTGTGTTCAGGCAGAGCAGTGCTTTCAATCAATCAAATTTGATTGATTGAGATGCCAATTAAATTTGTCCCAGAGCAGAACACTCTTTAGTTCTGCGATAGTAGAAGGCTAAATTAACATGTCTGTTACCATCACTGCCCAGCACTGTGAATATGGACCCCCCTCCGGGGCCCATACTTTGTGGGTTCATGACAACAGCGCAGCAATGGCACCATCTACCGCTGAGCCCCATCTCTGAAGAATATCCCTAAAAGGTTACATAATCATCATGTTAGTTATGCTGCATGAACCCGTCAAGAAAGGGAATGGTCTGTTTAAGTTTTGAATAATCTGTTGCTGTTGCTGTTCCGCTCCCTTGTTTTGTAGACTTGAAGATAATTCCGTGTTGAAAAGTGTTAAAACCAGGAAATGGAACATGTTAGAATTGAAGTTACTTAGGTCTTTAATTATATAGGCCTTGCCAATATGAATAGTCTTTAAAGGCAGACTTGCCCCTGCAGGGAAACAACAATATAAATGGTTAATTAATTATGTTTTGAATTCTGAGGTAAAGTTGATCTCAAAAAGAGTTTAAATGCATGGTAAATGCATGACCCCCCCTCCTGCTAGAACTAGAAGAGGGGAGTCAGAACGTTTCACCTCAAAGTGTACTTCACACAGTGAACCTAAGTCAGGATGCAGATACCAGGTGTGGAGTGAAAACACAGGAACTTAAAAAGCACACGGCAAAACAAAAACGTAGCCCCACACCTTTACTGTTGGTGTTTATCCCTCCTAAAATTGGTGTTTTTTCAGTTTACTAAATAACATGCCACTGTCCTATGTTAGGGTTAATAAATTCTAATAATTTGTAGAATAGCTCCACTGTTGTTGAACAAATGCAAAACAGTTCAGCTTCCTCACAGAACAGCCAGGCTCTGTAAGAACTGTATTTAATTCACCACCGCTATTATTATATTGTGTTGCTGTACTTGTCATCAAACTGCTCCTCTGTGACTGCTGTGGTTGAAATTCAGGCAAGCTGCAATGCATCTTGGGAAATGCTGTCTGCAGTTATATCAAAGTCGATGAAAGAGCCACGAGACATGCGGAAGAGGGATGGTTTCAGCGGAGTCAATTTAACCACAATATAACAAGAGTAATACCGGACATAAGGACATTTTGCCTTCAAAATAAGCCAATGTTCCACGTTACACTAGGAAAACTGTCAATTCTCTTAAAGTGTAGCCTATTTTCACTGAATGATCAACCTGGTAGTCTTTTTCTTAGTTAATGGATTCATCAAGTTGTCTATATGTTGTCCAAACATGTTAAAATGTCCAAGGCTAACTAACAGTCCAAATCCCACAGAAATGTCGTTATATATCATATTGAATTAAGAAAAGTATTTTTTAAGTATCAAATTATTCCATCTACATGGCTGGCAGCAGTGACGTTTTACTTGATAAATGACTAATCAATAATTATCAATCATCAAAATAGCTGTAAATCCATTTTAGTGTCTTTGAAGCTTGATCCACTGTACTAGAGACTAAAAGTCAGGATATGCCTTGTCTGCCTCTGTTGCTTTGATTCTGACCATTCTGGTTTGTAAGCCTGTCTCTTGGGTGCTCCCCAGAGGTGACAATACTAAATAGCCGTAGTATTCCTTTAGAGACTATTGATTCTGTGTTGGAAAAGCATTGACTTTTCATTAGAAGTTGCTGCATCATTGCCCTGTTTGGAGAAGGGAGGAGCTTTGGGGTCGTGGCTGGTTCGCTGCTTGTTCGGTTATTTTGAAAGGTAGAGCCGGAAATATTGTCGCATACTCCTCTGGGTACTTGACGCTGGGTGGCTTCCCTGGTGGAGCCTCAGTTTTTACAACAATATTATAAGAAGCCTACCCGATGCTGCTCTCCAACACAGACAGGGGGACAAACCGTCGGTAGGATAGCTTTCGTATTTTTCTCCAGTGCACGATGGTTGTCGGTTACAGTTAGGGCTTCGTTTGTGGATTTTGGAGAGATTATCTATAATGTTGGCGAGCGATTTCCTTCTACCCTGTGCACTGCAGTGGTGCGCAGCTTCGCCTGGAGAGACACCTGTGCGCCTCTCCTTTCCCCTGGCCACAGCCAGGAATGTTGAGTAGGTATGGATACAAATCCGTGCACAAATCAACTTATCAAACATCCTCATAGCTCTAGTGAAAGAAACACGAGCTCGGTTATTGTGATCTGCTTGTTTACCGTGGCTTATCTTATCGCTACAGCTCATCGATATTTTGCTCATCAGTTTGTATGGCATCTTGGCCGCGGTGGCAGCATCTCTATAGAGACCACATTATATGGAGACAGTGGAGAATTGGAGGCTTCATGGTTGGGTTTGATGGCCAGTCTGTCCGAAAGGCAGCGGGAGTGTGTGGGGGATGTGGGGTCGTCTTGATGCTGTCAGTCAGGATGTAGGGGAGGATCTATTGGAACAGGATTACCCGACCATTTTTGATGAGAGCGCATCGTGGAGTTCTGATCACAGTTGACGCATTGCACTCCTCGTGTTTTGGCTGCTTGTCCATTGTCATTATATAATCATACCCATGTAATCCAGTCTTTTATTTTACCTAGGCAGCACACGACTACACAGACCACAGCTCGCCCCCTCCCTCCCCCTGAGGATCCATTTATACAGGTCCTGCTGAGCAGCCTATGAATGCCAATTATAAATGTGGGTGGGTATCAACACTGTTTACGTTTACATAATTCATTGTTTAGTGTACGCGCCCATGTGTGTGGTGCGCAGAAATATAAAAGGGAGAGATCTGTGTTAAATGCAGCAAAGTGCCCATGACTCATGGTTTTATACAGTGCAGTACAGGGGTGTGCGTGCGTGCGTAAAGCTAAAATCCAAATTGCTTCAGTGCGTGTGTGTCTTTGTGGTGTGGGGGGTTGGATTTCAGTAAGTGTGTTTTGTATCTGGTGCATGCAGGATGGGAATCTGCAATCAGACTCTGAGGAGGAAAATATTTTTCACAGACACAAAGCAACGTGTAATGATACCTGCATCATATTAACTCGTTGTGCATGCAACACATTAAAACAGCACAGTAAATAGAGTTTGGAACACCAATCGCAGCATCCTCCTAATGTCTGCTACAACATCCTCTCCTCTTATCTGTCTTTCTCTCCTTCTGTTTTTGTTTTTCAGAGAACTGATAACCCTAAGGCACCGTGTCTATCTGCATTTGTCTGATAGAACGAGAGAGGGAGCAGCACAAATACCGCACAGCCAGACATCATGCAAGGAGAAACCTTCCCTCATCGCAGCGTGCTGAAATGTTAGGACTGAAGAGCAGTTGTGTCAGATCAGATCAACAGACTGGTTATAATAGGGGGGGCAATAAGAGCTGCTTGACATTAGACCTACTAACACCCTTTGTGTGATTTAAGTGCCCTTTCAGTCACCATCAAGAAAGGCGCGTTAACTGATCTTTCATCAGTATTTTTTTTTCTGGTCAGATTCAGCGATCCAGAAACGAGACGAGATGGAGTGGTCACTAGAGAGTGTGAGGGAGATGGTGGCCGGAGGGATGCAGTCTATAAGGGAGTGTGAGATCTGTGCTTTTGCCATAGGCATGTGTGTGCTGCTGTTATTTTTGTGGTATTGTTATAGGGTGGGCCGGGAGCATGGCTCCAGCCCCCTGCGTGGGAGGTATCTGGCTGGGTCTGGCCGCATCGGAGGGGTTGTGGGGGGATTTATGAGTTCAGACTGTCGTGGCAGGGGTAAAGGGAAGCATGGATCAATGCTGGAAGAGCAGAATGGCTTTGCTTTCTGCCAGTCATCAGAGTGCTTCCGCTGTACCAGTGCTGGAGAGAGTCTGAACCAGAGGCTCTATCACAGCCTGCAGGATTATGCCAAGCGCTACACCTGGTCAGGTATGGGCAGGGTGCATAAAGGAGTCCGTGATCAAGGACGATACCTTAATAGTCGACCAACCATCCAGCGGCCAGAGGTCTTCTTTCTCCCCGACCTGCCGTCAGCCCCTTTTTTTTCCAGAGAAGTACAGAGACATGATGTGGAGCTGCTGGAGCAGAGCTTTCCCGCACTCCTGGCCGAGTTTGAGAGCATCTACCACCAACCTCCAGCTCGCAGTGGCTCCTCCCTCCCTCCAGGGTGGAAAGCTAACAGCACCCCTCGTGGGCAGTGGTGGACCTATTACCTGGTCAACCAAGGCACCCCTCTGGTTCTTAATGTCAGGAGATGTCCAAAAGCCTGGAGGGTGTTGGGTCAGCTGCGCACCTTCATCGCCAACAATGTGTTTGGAAATGCCTGCTTCTCTGTGCTGACACCCGGAGCTCTGATCACTGAGCATTACGGCCCAACTAATGTGAGGCTGCGCTGCCACCTCGGTAAGAGAGAGAACTGTTCAATGAGCTGAAACTCATTCTACCATGTGATGGGTAAATAACTCACTGAGCCTCAGATACAACACAACAGCAGCTGATTTCAATAATAAGCATATTTAACTAGAGAAGAGGGGCAACCCAGTGAATCAGCTGCTGTGTTTAGACTGAAATCCTCTTGAGTCATGGAGGCACATGGTGAAGATTTAGTGGCTTATGATAAAAAAAACAAACATTATTTTCACTGCATATGAGCTTTGATTTTTATTTTCATATGTGCACTCTGACATGGTTATAAATAGTGCTGTTTATTGTTGTGTAGGCAGGATGCTTTAATATAATATGGCACATTTTATGAACAGAACATTTTGTGTGGGATATGTTACTTCAGAGGTTGATTAGCAACACAGAGATTTCAAAATACCTTGTGTTTATTAAGTCTCATGGATGGCCTTATGCTATTTTTGTCTTTGGCAGGTCTCAGAGTGCCCCCTTCCTGTGAGCTCGTAGTTGGAGGAGAGCCACAGTGCTGGTCAGAGGGTAGCTGTTTGCTTTTTGACGACTCCTTCCTCCACAGGGCCTTCCACGAGGGTAGGAAGGGATTCAGATTAAATCTTTTGTTTCAGTCCATTGCTTTTACCTATTCCTTGAAAAGGGATTATCTTAAAATGGTATAATCTAATATCACTAAGTGGGGAGCCTTTTTCATTTGAATCTGATACTGGTTTCATGATCACAGCAAAATAGGGTTGATTTTTCTGTTGCTCTGGTTCTGTGTGTGTGTGTGTGTGTGTAGGCAGCGCAGAGGATGGCCCCAGGGTGGTCTTCATGGTGGATCTCTGGCACCCCAACGTGGCCGCTGCTGAGAGACAAGCCTTGGACTACATTTTCACCCCAGGCCGTTTAGAGGACAAGGAAGGGAAATAGGTGTGAGTGAGAAACCATGACCAAGCAAAAGACAGATTGTATTTAGGGGAGTGTCTGTAGGTTTGGGGAGCAACTCTTTTTCTGCCTCCAGACCACCTCTCACAGTCACTGTGTACATATTCTCCAGCTCATACAGTATCTCTCATAACTCCACTTAGTTGATGACCAAACACTGGACCTATTTTATCAATCATGTTTTTTCCTTTATACTAAAAGACAGCCACAGTTGAAAGCTTACATTTTTTAAAAACCTAGTAGATGCGGGATTGTTCATATATCCATCTTATTAATGTGCATTAATACCATGGATCGGATATTATAGCTTATTTGCATTAGTTTTTATTTCGAATAACCAAATGTTCAGTGAATTTGCATAGAGGTGAACTGATGTGACTTAACAGTAAAACATGTTCCCATTTTTATTTTCCTCAAACTTTGGGCAAATTCTGGATCAAAATTATTTCTAATAATTTACAGTGTGCACAGCTCATATCAGCTTCATTGTGGTGGCTGCTTGAAACAGTTCAAGGGTTTGCTGGTAGTCTGCAAAGTGCATTACAGATATGACAAATGACTGTTAGAAAGCCAAACATTAACATGTTGCTCTCTGCTCCTTCACAGCATATACAGTATGGATCCATAGGCCAACCTGTACATGAACTAGAGTCTTTGAGTAAGCATTAATGGCCTCAAACACTTTCCAGGCATTACAGGAGGCACAACATAACAAAGCTTACAAAAAATTATATGTAAATTTCCGGTTGTATTACTTTACACTTTAACATCTAACACACATTACTAATTCTTTTACACTTTCTGTAACACCCACATACATTTTTGCAAGGGCTAAGAAATCTGAGCATTCGGCTTTTTTATTATATCCTGTCACATGTAAAATTAAAATTTTTATCCAGACACCCAACTTTCAGTAGGTTTACACATGTTTAATATCAGAAACAGCCAGTTTTAATTGTTCAATAAAGATCTGACTGTTTAGTTTTTCATGAATGACTGGACACTGTCCTGCTTGCAGAATGTCGATATACCTTCAGTGATTGTAGCACCCATTGTGACTTATATAAATTCAGAACAACAGTAATCCCAAAGCTAGAGCACTGTTTGGCATTCTGTGCACAAGGTTCTAATAAACACATCAACCCAGAGTCATCAGTTAGTACAGACTGATTAATTAAGCAGACATGGGATCATTCTTTAAACCTAATTATCATGGGGAACAGATTTATTGATTTGTGGTTTGATAACTGAGGTCCAGTGTCGATCACAATATGAATGTTTACAGCCACAGCTAATGTCTCTGTCATGACTCCTGCTGGTGTGGTAGTTCATTGTGCTCCCCTTTGAAAATCAACCCAGCTTTCACAAGACGTGGTTAGATAAGCACATTTTTAGGTCAAACTGTGTGAGTCAGCCTGTGCTATAACACTGGAGATGAAGCGTTTTGGTAAATTTACTAAACTCTTGTTATTTGGTTGCATTTGATATCAGGTTTGTATCTCTGTAAATAGGGTTGAGCAAAAAAAATTTAATGGTCTGGGATGTTTTGAAATGATTGTTGTCAGTGCTCTAACTATTGTGTTGTCTTGATTTGCAGCTAAAGTGATTACATTTCATTCTCTGGTCTCCACAAGCAAGACCATAAAGTCATTTTGGTAGATTCAATTTGTATTCTGTAAAATGTTTAGGAAGTATTATCTCTGTTGTTCTGTGATGGTTTTGTTTTTTATCATTCTGTAATTTTGCTGCACCATATTGGTATCCATGATTAAAGCCACAATCCTTCATTCTTCCCCAAGAACTTCATAGATGTATGTACACAGTCTAAACGGTAGTGAAAATTAATCTTCAGCAGCTTTACTAGTCCACTGCAATTCAAGATCTATCTAGCTATTCTGTTCTAATGTTTACAGAAGTATGATCATTTACAAGCTGGTTACAGCAATGGATGACACTGACACTCACATTGAGCTGTCTTTGATTAGGTTTGAGATCGAGAGTGCTGTTAATCCACTTCAGAGTATGAAAACTGTCATTCCCAAAGCATTTGCTTTACAAATACGTTATATTATGGGGCAACCGTTTTGTTTACATTTGGATTACGGATTTGCCCTTTAACATATTCTTGTGTGGATTTTGAACAGTATTTCTGTATATTTAATAAATGGTCGAGTATCTTATTTAACCAGCTGTTGTCAGAAGTGTCACTTTTCACACATGCCACAGATCTGAAACAAGACGGAGACTACATTGTATGGATTTACACTACCGAATGAACCATTTCAGAGGAATAGTCTTCTGCAGAAATGCCACTCTGTTTTTTTCCACTTTACTATATAAAGCAAGAGGAAAAAATAAATTGTGTTGCCTCTTTTCAACCAGATGCAGTTTCACAGTATCGCTACAGGGAGACGAAGGCATCCAGTGATGTTGTCACTGCTCTGTTTTCTCATTATAACAACAGTTATTTCCTGTCAGACCTGACTTCAGAGGAAATGAAGCATGAGCACTACAATGCTAAGGCAGTAATAACATGTTATACAAGCAGTGTGTCTTTATTATTCAGGAGTTTGGGATTCAAGAAGAATATAAATACAGTTTAATGGTTAACCATGTCTCCAAACAAATGAGCCCCCTTCACCTCTTCAGGTTCACTGTGAGTCTCTTGAACATTACATTATGGTTTCCACATGTAGCTTTGGTGAACTGAAGCATATGCTGATGCCAGTAATCACCTATAATAACACAGAAAATGTAGAAAGACCCAAGTGTTTGCATTTGTGCACACAGCTATTGACTTACTGAAGAGGGCTATAGTAGATATTATTACAATACTGCTTAGTATCCAGAAGTGAATTTGAGAGAGAGCAGAATATTGTGGCAAGGTTGGGGGGAAGCACAATTTAAAGCTCTTTGAGCAATTTGCATTTACAGTATATTACTAAGACCTATATGATTTTTAATTCTAAGGCAAACACATGGTGGCAGAAATGCAATGAAATATATTTCTTTTAAAAACGAGAACTGCGTGGGCTCATTAGTTGTAGTGGCGTTCAGGGACCAGAGGCCTGTGAAACTAAACATACAGAAGAGTTGCTTTATGAGCATAAGTTGGTATTTTCATTGCCTTATATTTGTTTAAATGTAATAAGATGAAAATGTAGAAATATAACACCAACTCTCAGAGCAAACCACATGTCATGCCATCTCACTTCTATGGCAACATAAATGTCTCAGTTCCTACTGGGGCATGTCTCGCTAATGTTTATTTGTTCTGTCTTTGTCATGGAGAAGTCTGCGAAATATACCTTACTACCGTCCACATCCACGTCATTGCCACGGTGCCAAAGACGAGCATTCACATCAATGAAAAGGTGACGCGCTCCGCAGCGACGTGTGTGCCCCTGTGTTCCGTTTGGTGTGCGCGCTCCGGCTGCGCTGCCGCAGCAATCAGGTGCTGACATGTACTGTATCTTAACTTAACACAGGCAGGCTCTGCTGGAGAACATGGGTCGACATTGGAGAAAAGACGGAAAATGATGTCGACGATCAACCCACTGAAATAGACCAACCCGGATCCGCAGCAATGAGCTCCTCTTTTCCAAAATCTGAATCTACGACCTCTTTACTGAAATCATCCTCGGCGACGACGAAGAGAACGACACACCTCCCTGAACGTGCAGCCGAAAGCCGGAGAAGTCAGCATCACCATCAGCATCAGCACCAACATCAGCACCGTCCCGCCGCACTACAGAACAACAGAAAAGCCGAGGAGTCCTTCTGGTCAGCCGAGGGTGACATCAGTGCCCGGAGACCCTTGTGCCACCCCTCCCTCATCGGCGCCCAGGACAGTAGTAATAATGCAGCCACGCGGGGCAAGTGTAAATCACATGCCCCTCATAGCCAAGTTCCAGACCCGCAGGAGTCAATCGGCGAGGCGGGCCGAGGTGTGAGGGAGCGCTGCAGGTCATCCAAGCCCACACACCGACACCACCACCGCAGGAAGCACAATCGGGAGGACCGTCCGCCGGCAGCAGGACCACCTGAACCAGAGCATCCACGTCACACGCACACCCGCCCGGTCCCCAGGGCGCTCTCATTGTCGGACAGCAACGACGACAGAGCTCCTCTCTGTGAGACGAGCGACCATAAGGGGGCCAGTTCGGCAAATAGCTGCGGTCAGGTCAGCAGTCCATCCATCTCTTCATGCTCCCTGGTCCCGCTGTCCAGCAGGTCCTCTCGCCGCTCCCGAAGGTCCAGTGCTGCTTCTTCTGCTTCTGATATCAATTTACGCACCATCCTCAATTCACTGTTTGGACAGGTAAGGCCCTGAGATAAAAAGAACACAATGTATCCCTCAATTATTAGTTACATTTACTTGTGGGGTTTTAATGCGTGACGTGCAGGGAGGCTCCTGACAAGCTGTGACAGTGACTCGCCAAACCCATATTCCACCTTATGTAAATCACAGGCTATGTGTTAGACTAATAAACCAACTATTTGGTTTTATAAATCTGCTTTAATGGCTGACCTCACACTAGTGTCTGCAGACTTCATCTAAAAAATTCAATGCATTAAGTTCACTGAGGGTTGTCCTGTAATCACTCCACTGAAAATAGTGCTTTGTTATTAGTCTGTCCACAGAACTGGCTTCTGGCATCGCTGATGCCCTGTTTACAATCAATAGGTTCATGTGCTCTGTGATGCACTCTGCATTACTGGACTGACTACAGGGGGTGAAAAGCTTCTTCTATGCAATACTTTCTTATGTAACTTGTAAATGCACTACTACCTCCTACTGGCGTTCTCAATCAGGGAGCCCTTTCTTATTGTTGTGGTTGTTCTGGGGCAGCTAAAATGTTCTCATATCAGAGAGGTGGAAATCTCAGATGTGTTCATGTGTATTTGGTCAGAGAAAGAAAGTATATATTCATTTTCCTCCATCATTCAGTTAGGAACACTGCGGTGATTGCTGTGTTGGAAGGAAATTACTTTTATGTTACTATTGGCAGTGAAGGTTCAAATCTATTTGCACAAAATAAAAAAAATATGTGTGGATTCTTATCAGCAATTTTGGCTCACTGAGTTAAATGCTTACAAAGGTCCACCTTCCTGCTTAATAACTCCTGACAATACGTTACTTACTTTTCTGCGTTCTTCCACGGAGGTTAGAGTTTATTGTTTGGATTTTAATCCGATCTTTGTAGAATTAGGATGCTACTGGCCATAAAATATCCTGGGTACAGGAACGTGGAGCTCATCCATTGTGGCTTCAAGAGAAAAATCATTTAGTATGAAAACCTATTCTACAAATAACCCATAAGACAGTCATAGCATGACCTGAAAAGGGTCTTTGATGAGACAGCTAGATGGAGACCGATTCAGTGACAGACAGAAATGTGACACATTGTTTGAGAGACACAGACACACACACACACTGCCTTTGGCATTTTGTCTGAACAATGCACTCAAAGTAAACAGGCTTTTCACTCCTGTGGCTGCAGGCAAAGGCCAAATGCCTGTACACAGATGGCGATCAAACATCTGGGGAAGAGAATTGTTTTAAACCTTTTGCTGAGGAAAACACATTATATTCTTACAAACGTTCTGCAGAGAAATAACGATTGCCTAATAACTGACTGTCTGCTCCTTGATTTTGATAGTATTCCTTTCTCAGATACACACACAAACACATAGATTTTCACTGTGATGGATGAAATATAACTGCTTTCCTGTCTCTCAGTTTTATGTGTTTTTCTTTGGTGCCATGAGGCTGTTACGGGTCAGAGTAACCTTGTCTCTGCCTACAGAGGGCAGATGATGATGTGTGGGGGAGGAAGGCAAAACAAAGGCCCAGAAATACACTGTGCAGTATATGAATTCAAATGCAGTTTTGAGCTTGCAAATTAACAAATTTTTCTAGCACTTGAAAGTGAGCGTGCAGGTGAGGACGACAGCAAGGCTGGAAATACTGTAGGTCATTCCATACAAAGTGTTCTTAGAAACTTGCTGGGTACAGATTTCCATAGCAAAGACGCAGCAAACACCTTGCCATATGTGCATGACCCTGAAGCAAATGATACTTGTCAGGTGCAGATTTGTGTATATTCCTGCAGAAAAGCTTCCTCTTGTTTATTCTTATATTTGGTGCCTGTGAGCCTGTGTGGTTCACACAGTAACTTTAACAGTTTGTGACAGTTGGCTGAAATATCTCAGTGGATCACCCACTTTTCCTTTAATAGGCATAATACTCTTTCC